TTACGAGAGAAGTCTCACGGAGAGCTTCGACTGTAGCTTCATCGGTATTTGAACCAACTCTATGATGACGACAGCTCCTAACCACACTGCGCCACGCTGCCACCGCTGCCACTAGTTAATTTGTGAGGTAAAATTATTAATTATATTTAAAACATTTTTCTCTGCCACTGTTTGAAGCTGGTGGAAAGAAAATTAGGTATTTACGCGTATTTCAAATCAATTTTGCATTATTGCATTTAATTTAATCTCGGGTTCAACGGCTGATCAATGTACGGAGCTGAAATTGCCAGTCCTTGCTATATGATGTGGGTCCCTAGACATTGACTACTTGCTTACGATCTAGGTACAACTAGATAGTCTGCGCAAAAGAATCTTGTAGTTGATCAATCGTGCTGAAAGCTTTCAACAGGTCGAGAAGCAGCAGAATAACGCATAGCTGTTTAAAGCCTAACGCTGAGTTAGTATTATGTCATGGCCATTTTATCAAAAATCAAGTAATTCATCTCCATTGTTGGAATAATTTTCCAATCTACCAATTACCTACAAAAAATACCAACATTTGTAAATTTACCAATGGTTTTTCAATGCTGAAGTGGTATTTTTTTTTTGGACGATTACAATGCTATGCCAACTTGAAATCTTATATTTTCCTTTTTTTTGGTAATTCATCCGTTTTTCACTTTGACAGTTGGGCTTCGAGGGACTCATTTCCGGGTTAGCAAACCGTCGGAACCGTATCGTTTTAGTTCTAGACAAGGTCTTCATGATTTGTTCGATCTTAAAAATGCTCGGAGCATATGTGCAGATACATAGAATCAAACTCTTTATCAGCGCCAGGCCAAAAGACGATATTTTTTCGTTATAAGATTCTTCTAACTCGAACAATCGAAAAAGTTGAGGGAGGTCTGACCTCTTTAAATTAAAATAAATTTGTTTTTCAAACTTCAAACAAGCATGAGATCAGCGATGTTTATTGCTTAGAAAAACGGAGGCATTTTAGGGCCGTATAAAGTCGTAAACTACTAGCTCAGGCTAAGGTTAAATATTATTCCAAGGAAAGATTTTGGAGCCGCTATAGTAAACGAACAAGTCGAAGCAATGTACGGTTAAACTATCTGTAGATCAAACTAGCCTGGCAGTTTAGAAGAGTTGTTAACCGATCATGATCATTACGAACAGAAATCGTGTACGGCCGGTTGTTTACTTCAGTTCTCGACTTGTTTGTCGTCCTGAATGTCATACAGCTATATGAGCTGTGTACAATCAAACCGATAGGTTGGTAGTATAGTCATGAAGTTTTAAATTCAACTTACCAGGTACTTACAAAGTTTCATAAAGTTTGTACAAAAAGTTTGTTTTGCTTTCGGAAAAAAGGATCAGAAAAACACTCAGTACTTGTGAAAAGAAAACTACCGTAATAAATGTGCTTATGTTTAATAAACTAGACTTTCAAAATTGTTTTCTTACTTTTAACTTTCGAGCTATCTACGAACATTAAAAGCTTATCTAAATTGTACAATATGCCACTTGCACTTAGAGGTCACGTGACCAATGCTTCTTTTAATCAATGAGTTGGAATCTTGCTGATGCCAAATATTGAGAGAACACATAAAAATTATCTTACACCCGAAATTTAAGAGGCAGCGCATTTAAGGGCGATATTTTATGGCACTTTGATTTTTCAACAAAGTAGTATCTAATGATCTGTATTGGACGCCATGTTGGAGGACATACTCTTGCCCTCCAACATGGCAGCCAAAACTACTTTTTGCTTATATCTTGTTAAACGTTTGATAGTTACGCTCAGTTGTGCTGTAAACATTACCACATCATCTTTTCAACATTTTCCTTGAAGTTTAAGTGCAAAATTTGTGTTCAGAAAGAGGTAATTCATAATTTTAAAAATCACATTTTGGTCACGTGACCAGCTACGAACTTACTCATTTTAAGAAAATGGTGCGGGTTTGAAAAACCAAATCACTATTATTTTGTTTAAGATATGACCCACTAATCGTTTTTCCAAGGCAAAATCATATAACTTTCATTTTCATAAAAACGATGTCACATGACCTCTTAGTGCAAATGGCCTATTAAAAAAAAAATTCTAGCAAGTTGTCCCTCTTTTGGAAACTAAGTGTCTTGTTTAGTTTCCTCTGCTTAAGCTTTTTGCAGAGAATCGAAACAGGATGCAAGTCTTGCATCAGAGCTAACTGGCTATTATTCTCAGAGAACAGAAAGTGAATCTGCCTACGAAACTAAACCAAGCAAAAACACCGAAGTTCGGCATTCGTTCGGCAAATGACCGCGTCTTGCATTAATCAAAATTTTATGTGTTTGCCCCCTTACTGATGATTAAAATTAGCCAATCAGCGTGCGAGATATAATTTGCTAGTTATTGTAAAAAATATCCTTTCTATAGTTTTTTTGCATTTTGTTAACTTATGTTTGCAACACTAAAGAATTTCAATTTTTTACTGGAGTCAGAATGACTCAAAACGTTGTGGAATCTAGACTGACATTTATTTCGAGAAAAAAAAAATCCGATGAGCAAATGGATTTACATAGTGAAAATACCTTAAATTTGTATTTTTTTTTTTCGTGACTAAACAAATGGTTGATTTCCATATTACAGGCTTAGTTCACCGTGACGTTTTGTAATGACTACACTACGTTCAAAAATTAGTTCTGACCAAAGAAAGGTTAAGTTAAACTTTCAGGCTATCAGCCTGTCCGACAAAGTTTAGACGAAGTTTATTCTTCGTTTTGTTACAAAGTTCAAAACAGAGATATCAGGAAGTAATATGAGGTAAGTGGTATCTCGAGGGACAACCAACCGTATAACTGTGGTTTTCAGTGCTTATATTAGTTGTATTGGCGATAGAAATGAACGACATTTATACGTAATGTAAAAGCGCTCATAGATCAAGAAGGTTTTTTTGTAGTGGTTTTTCCATTTTTTCACTTTTCATACTGGTAGTATATATCTACGGTCTAGCCAAACTCGTGTATGTCACGAAAATATAAATAAATCGCGTAATTATCACCAATCTGCAATAAAGATATTTTTTTCTTTAGGCTAAAAGTGGAAGTTTAAGTCATAATAATACTGCAATAGAAAAAAGGAACGGAAATTAGATTACACATTATCTTTTAACAGAAATTTAAGAAATGTTTAAGCACCGATTCTTACGTAATTTGCCATGTTGTCATTATGCAAAATAAACATCTGTAAAAAGGGGAAAATTAACTCCGGCATATCTTGGATTTACCACTGAAAAGAATAACTCTAAGATTTTGAACGTACCTTTTGTAACCTATGCTTATCTGTATCAATATTTCCTCCTTTTAAAAAAATAACGAAAATAACAAAATCATTGGACCCCTTCATGGTTTCTGAGATAGACAACGCGTTGGAACGAGAATAGTTGTTACATAACGTGGGGTAACAAACTTATGTTGAGGTCGCTATGAAGGAGAAATACGGCGAAAGAGGATAATTCCCTTGAATCGCAAACTTTATAGCGAAACATTAAATTAAGTCGAGGTTGGACAATTAAGAGGACCACTCTGAGTCTAAACAATAAAGGTTTTTAGTCTCAAGGCTCAAATACCACTAGAGGCCATACCGGGTACCGAGTCCTTGAAATTTCTTTCTTTTTTTCGGCGTTGAGGAGTATAACAAGCTGGCTAAGCAGAATTCTAACGATCGTTGCGCGGTCTTATGCGAACTAAATGTTAATTAACTATCCTGATTACAATTTTCGTATCTCAGTATAATTGTCTTGGTCTGAGGGTAAATGAAATTCAGCGTATCAATATTTCAAGCACTCAAAAGTAAGAGGAAAGTGTTTGTCTTTTAATACTTTGGTTAATTTTTCGACGAGAACGTTGCTTCCAATAAAACCCATGAAAATTTTAATTTCAGTCAAATATTCAGAAATTATAAGCAACCAAAATATACATACAAGCAGGAGCCGATTAACTGAAAATGGAAATGCAAATCTGAACAACTTGTTGACATAACTAAATCGCAAATGTTTTCAATGAATATCTCTCGCTTCATTGCTTGCTCTGTAAACTGGCCGGGGTGAAGTAAATCCTTCGCTGTAACAAGCTACATCTCAGTGAGGCAAGATGGAACCTCCCCGCCCGCTTGTTTCGATGGAATGTTCGTGTTCGTAAGACTGACTTAATCATCTAAGTATAACATAGAAAAGGAAAAAAACCTACAGTTTTCTGAGGTCGAGATTCACCCTAGATTATCTTTAAATCAAAATATTAACATTTGTTGTGGCGGGGGTGAATAGAATAATTTAATAATAATAATAATAATCGGTTTCAAAATAATTCAGTAAAGTTTACATCACGGAAATGATCGTCAATCAATTCAGTTGTGGCGGAGACCTTACCTGATAACTGTCCGTGAAATTTTGGGCCACATAGAACAAATAATATAATTTTCGTTTGGTTTATTTTTTATTCAAAATTATTAGTGCAAAAATTCCAGCATTCCTCAGTGGGTTGATGTGTTTTTTGCCTTTAGTATAGTATAAAATATCCTGCCAAATCAACTTGAAGCGTTTCACAGTTAAAATTCTAGGACCTAAAGGAAACAGAAGAACAGAGAAACGTCTTCCCCAGCATTTTTCAATACATCGCCATCATGGTAGTGGTGACAGTGCGGTGAATGGACCTATGTGCCTACCCGTCTGAGGTTTCTGCATAAATCTTACAATCAGCTATGTCAAAGATCTTTACCCCTACCCCCACAAACAAAGCAAATGAGATCTGCTAAACGCGTAAAAACATGTTGGACTATACTGCCACGTATTGCTAAGAGGTATAATGTTCAACACAGTGGATTTTTGTTCATTTGAAGCAAGATGTTTACCAAGCAAGAAGTCCGTGTGCACTTGTTGTCGGCTTTCTTCTTCATAGCTGCACTTACATACCAAGACGTTGAAGGTATAAAAGAGAATATTCATCTCTGTATTTCGTTTTTGCAAGTTATTTTTATTTCTTTTACTTTTTTGTATTTTCCAGCGCTGAGTATCAAAACTGGAATATGTAATATCGCCATTACTACTCCTGGTCTGTTTGCGTGTGAAAAGGTTTCCTTTGAGAATCCTTTTGATGGTAGGGACGTGAAAGTTTTCGTTTCTAAAAGCCACGCAACAAAGAGTTCTAGTGGTGGAGATGGCGCGGCTATTTGGGTGGAATCTGTGGATAATAAAGAATTTACAGTTTGTGTTTTGGAGTACGGAGATGGTTCTAGTGGGACTACGAAAGTGAACTGGATGGCGCTGCAATCTGTTCCTGTTGGCGCTCAACTAGACACCGTCTCGTTGGATTCTTGGACCACTGGAGAAAAGTGTAAAAGGATCGCCTTTGAAAAGGTTATCTCTGTTTCCCCTTGCGTTTTCGTTCATTTAAATTTGATAAATCTGACTGATTTAGGTATTTCTGTTTGCTCAAACCTAGACACAAGATTTCACTACTTTATTTTTTGGAGCTTTGTTCCCGGGCTCATAATGTTCGAAAAGTTCGAGTGGTCAAATACATAGTTGTTTATGGTCAAATAAAAGCCGCTGATCAAAAATATTGCCACAACCAAACGGCGACGAAAACTCAAAGAAATAAGCTTTCGAACAAGAGGTTTTGGAGACAATTTAGATGATTTTTGGCCGAGATATTGTAGAGCGAAGGTCTTGGATTTAAGCCGTGTAGTAGAAGCGTATTTATAAATAGAATTAACTCCAAATTCTTTAAACGTGGGAAGGAAGAATATGCTTTTTCAGTGGACAAAAAAACTCACGATAGAAAGATACATGAAAGATAAGACTTTGTACTTGAAGATTTCATCGCAACCTAAGAGAGTTCCCCAGCGAAATTGTCATTAATTACTGAAGAAAAGAGGGTAATCGAGGTGGCAGTGCTCCATTTGCAAAAGAATCATATGGAAGACGCAGGTAATTTTTTCGTATTTCTATTTCCATAATCTGGGAAGCTCGAGATTGGACGGTAGGAGTTTAAGTTTGTCAAAACTAAGATCTAAATAAGTCAACCTTTCAGTCTCAATCGCAACCTAGTGTTCAGGTATATCGCACGGCTTGCTGTATCGCAAATTATTTTACTTATCCCACTGGGCATTTCTTTGTAAAATTTTCATTGTTTTCTGTTGGTGTCCACTGCTACCGCGCGTGCGTGAAGTTAAATTCTGGCCATTAACACCGCTGTATTAATTATATAATGCGGTTCTTTATTCGTTTACCAAGATCTTACATATATTGCAACCGCTATTTTTTTCCTTCAAAGTTATCTTCCAATCTGTCCTCCACTTTTCTTTCATTTCAATTTTTTTTATTTACACTTAAAAATCTTTAAAACGTTTTACCCATCTTCATAGTTTTTTTGCAAATTTTTGCTTTAAAAAAATTAGTGAGAAAGTCTATATTTCGATTCTTTTTGTTTCTACATTGCTAAGTTCATGATTATCGTTTTATTTACAAATTCTGTGTTTAATTCGTAAAACTCTTCCTAGTTTTTCATCTGCAAAAATTCTATCTAATTTGCTTCTTTTAATTTCAGAATGATTTTTTCTATCACACTTCCCTCGTTTTATATCATACCCTTGTTTGTTTGAAAAAGAAATGTTCTTGATTATTGATTTCCTTCTCTTTTACTTTTTCAGCTTTTCTCAATTCCTCCGAGCATCTACGCAACAGCTCGTCACCAAATTCTCAAGAGACCTCAGGACGCCTTGGCATTGTGGGTAGAGGATGTACGCAGGGACAGTTTTAAGGTTTGCCTCAGGGAAACTAAGATTTTTGATGGGCTGCATAAAAACATCAAGGTGGTAAGTGAATTCCTTTTGTTACCTGTTACATGTTTGAAAGTAGACACGCAACAAGATGATCATTAACCAAGCGGTTCCTACCTTGCTGCAACTTACAGGGGCTGTGCTCTAGCAGAACCCAGTTGTCCCTAGCGCTCTACCTTCACTTTTTGCCTACTAGGAAATCGTAGCTTTTTTCATAGAGATCCCAAGTTGGGTAACCTGTGATTTACACGGTTCCAGAGAAATGGGCTCCTGTCTCTTACAACACAACCTTGACTTGATAAAGAATTTATTGATAACATTGTTAATGCTTTTTCACTTGTCCTTCAGGACTGGATAGCATTTGTTAAGCTTATGACGTTGAATTCTACCTTGATCCATGGCCTTGTAACAACAAAGAATAACTCACCACTAAACAAGCAACAAAACAACCCTCTCTGTCAGGTAAAGTAACTTTTCAACTATATTGTTCTGGTTTCTCAGTCACTTATATTCATAAATAGAAAATCTTTCATAAGTTGATGGAGCTCTAATGTTGTTATTGTCAACTATTTAAACAACATATATCATATACCGCATATGTGTAGAAAAACTTAATAACGCTGATTCTTTTCTTGTTTTTTTAGATAATAAAGTTCACTGGTGCTTTCTATGCCCCTCCTGTAGTAATGGTTTCACCAAGACTCAGTTACCATAACAACAAGGCACGTTTCTCGGCTTCCGGAACTTGTAATGCAGTTACTGCGTGGGTTCAGGTAACATATATGAAACTTGGAGCCATTTTTCTTAGTCCATTGCGTCCTTAGGCTGCCTTCTTATCTTTTCCCTTTGAACTTTCTTTTAACTATTCCGGTCTCTTATCCAATCTTTCATGTTGTTTAAGGAGACCAAAAAAGTTTTTCTTTGTTTTCTTTTGTTATTGTTTTTTTTTCAATTTTTCCAATCAACCTGTGCACCCCATGGTTTTTCTTTCTAAGGGAACGCGTCCAAATATCGGTAGGAAACCCGATCATGGGAAACGGACCCGATTAATTTTCCGATTGATCGGAATCGGTACCGATCTATAGGCACCAGTTGCCGTTTCCGATTACGATAAAAACTTTGCCGATTCAATCGGAGCCGGTTGACATTCCGATGTTCATATGTGTCATCGTCACATTATTTTATCTGATATGTAAAATGAAGCGTGTCACGAAACCAAATAATGAAAGAGTCGTTTCACTTCAAAGTAATTTCAATCGACTGTACCTTTTTCCTACTCCATAACAAATAGCAAAATTGTATGTTTCTGCATGTTGTGTTTCGAGTTTGTTGATTTGATACGTGCCTATACACGTGATTTTCGGCGTTTTGCAGAGGTATTTCCTTCAGTCGATCGCAAACACCACGCTGCTCCATAACATTTATTCTATGAAAATTAAAAGGAGTTAAATATTACGACGCAAAACACCACTGTTCTTCGTTGATATATAGCAAACAAAACACCATACTGAGTAGTGTGTTCTTTACTCGATACTAATTTCTAACAATGCAATCCAAAAACACGACCGGAACTCACTTTCTCGAAACACAGCTGGATTCATAGACTTGTTACAAGTAGACCTCAACGGGTTTCCTAGCGAGCGGAGCGAGAGCAAAACCATGGATAATGTAAAACCACGGGATAAACTTTTACGAAAATTTGCGTCTTTCATTCAACGATCCTAAACGCAAGGTGTAATGCGATCTGAGGCAAAAAATACCGACCAATTACATTGCGGCCTCAGATTGTCTCCAGGGAATTGGCAACAGGAACTGAAAGATTCCCACACTCGCGAGTCACGGAAGACACGGAACGAAGTTTCATACAGGAGCTACCAAAGAGAGAATGGCTTAGCGACTTTGCTGTATGTTCTGTGAGCTTGAGCATGGTGCCACGTGAAATTGCTTTCCACTCTCAGCACTTAGAAAAATTGGCGCTTGACTCTAGGTGGCTGACTGTTTGACAAAAATCAGAACCTATTTTACCGGAGTGTTCAACTAAAGTAAACTGGCATACATCCGGTAAGTTCGACTCAATTTAATAGCGGAAAGACAATCGAGAAAGAGAAAACCAGTTGAACGCCTCCATCAGTCACTTTTTTGAGTTCATATGCAACCAATAAACAACTTGCAGCTTGATTCTCAGACGATGTCCTCTTCTCTCCTGTGGCAATTTAGCAGTTAAAGTACACAACATGGTAACAACATTTGCATTTTGGTCGTGGATGTTCTGACTTCTATTTTTTTACAGTCCTAAACTGTTTATTCCTCCAAAGATTCCTATAATCATGCGTTTTGGCTTCCGGTTAGCAAAGGCTCAAGCTATTTTAAAATTATCATTTTTTAAAATTATCACATCGTACACTTGCAATGTACATTGCGCCGTCTTTCACTCAAAAGATGCCTGTTGTTTCTTCTCGCGCCCATTTTGATACACAAATTTTATAATATTTTCTGTTCATACTCTGTCATAGGAAATAAAAACAAATGTTCGAAACCGTGACGTTAAATTTCGGTTCAAACAAGACACATTTATAAGAAAGATAAGGTTATAAAAAACAACATTCCCGCTTTTGCTTTTGCTTTTGTGACGGGTTATTTGAGCTGCCAGATATTTTTGATGACCTTTGTTAATTGGCCCGATAAAGACTTGAGACCCGTTGCCGATTCCGTTTCATTCGGTGCCGATAAAATCGGGTCCGACCTTCAACGGAATCGGAAAAAATCGGTGCCCAATTGATCGGCATCGGTATGACCCGATGCCGATATTTGGACGCGTTCCCTAAATGACCTTGGTAGTGACATAGTAGTTAAGGTAAGAAAATACCAGATGATGCTTAATAATGGATAATCTGATACTTCTAATGATTGTGTCTAGCATACCTTTACAAACGAAACCGAGGTGTGTATGAGAAGATACAGCAATAACGCCAATTATAAGGACATCGTACAACTGGATTACCTGGTGATTGGAGGTACGTAAACAATATATTAAAACCTTGGTGAAGGCTGTATGCTGCAGAGTATGCAAGTACAGTTTATGACATGAATCTTTTGAAGTCGTTTCATAGAGAGCTTTATTTCTCTAATTAATGCTATTTTTTGTTGTCTCTTTTTTGGGGGATTGTAGATTTGGTTGACTGAAAGAACACGTTACTGCAATAACTTCATCCCAATAATTTTGTGTATTCAAGAAAATGAGGCTTTTTAGGAAATTTAAAGTCTAAATTTCTTTGCCACACTGGTTCTCCTGATCACGAAATTAACAGGCTCATGTGTGATGTCATAAGACAAAAATTCAGGAACTGAAAAATGGGATCATATGCACTCTTATCCTTTTCTTAGGGTTGCCAGTGTTCTTGCATTGAACTGCAATGCACCTTATTGGCATCTTAAAGCTGTTTCAGCTTGTAAATTGGACGAAATTTTTGTAGAATCCACACTTGTTTTCTTCTATCTAAAGTCACGTGTTCTTTAATTTACGTTATAGTTTCTTAATATACGTCAGAGCCCCTTTGTTTCCGAGAGGCATCCGTGTGCAGACTTACACGAATGGTGTGCCAAAATGGTGGTAAATTTGAACGTCTCGAAAAAATTCTCTTTAATAACATTGTGTTCAAAGCAATTTTTTTTCGCTCACGTTCTCATAGTAATGTGCATTTTCAATTCCAAAAAAAAAAATTTTTTTTTTAAGGTATGGGCACTTTAAATCTAATCTGTTGTTATTTGCTTAATTTATCTTCAGACTTGGATCCTTGCATAGACATCACATGTCATTATCACAGCTTCTGTAAGGCGTTTGGACCCCATGATGCTCGCTGTGTATGTGCGAATAGCTGCCCATCTTACAAAGAACCCGTTTGCTCATCAAATGGCACAACATACGATAACAGATGTTTGTTTGAAAGAGAAGTTTGTCTACTTCGACTAAACTTTACCGTGCAACATCCTGGCAGCTGTGAAGGTTAGTACAGTTGTTTTTGAATCTGTTAAAAAGTGATTTTTGTTTTTATTAGATTTCAGTATTAATCCTGTAGCGAATTTTTTGAATGAGCTATTTACTTACCCATGTAGTCTAGAGGGAAAAACGGTGATGCGTGACTTTACATAAATACAGAATTTTACATAATTTTGCTAAAACGTTTGACAGGAGCAATGCTAATAAGAATACTGGTCAAAAAAGTCGTCGTCATCGTCGTTTGCATTTCGTACCCAGACGTAGCTCTGCGTAACATATCTGGATAACCTTTCCTAGAGTTATATTTTTTTAAGCATAACTGGAACTGCGCCACTACGTTGTTATTGCGTTACTTTCAGCGGTATCTAGCGCGCGCATGCGCCCGTGGCTCATCTTTGTAATTCCATGCGGTTCTCGTTCGGTCTTCAGTAAACCTTCGTTAAGACACAGTTTGTTCCTTATTGGCGTGGTGGCAGCGGCTTTTACCCACGTACGGTGGACCCTAACACAAGTGTGGTCGTCTGGAACCTGTGACCCTTATTTTCACGAAGTGCGAAGATCAACAAATCAACGTGAATTCGCCGTAACCGCTCGTGTAGGAAAACCAACATGGCCGCCGCTCACAGGGCGCCTAAACAATGGCAGCTTACGAAAAACGAGACCATCACCTCGTACGAAAGTTGGAGGCAAAACTTAGTCTACATCTTATCCCTGGACAAGAACTTTGTCCCATTTTTAGAGGCCACATGGCAAAAACAAACCGCCGCCAACCCTCGAAGAGGCCTTACGAATGATGGCACGCCTGTACCTGAGGCACAACGACTTACTGCCGCTCAGAAAAATGCCCACCTGGATCTTCTGCTCGGACAGATTGCCAATTTTTGCCCCGTGATCTCCAGGAACTCCATAGTAAAGCACTCTACCTCTCTGAATGACATTTGGCAGAAAATTCGCCAGCATTTTGGGTTCCAGTCCTCCGGAGCCCATTTCCTCGACCTTGCAAGCATCAGCCTTCAAACTGCTGAGCGACCAGAGGACTTATTCCAACGCCTCATGGCCTTCTTCGAAGACAACCTCCTTGCAGTTAATGGTGGCTTAACCCACCACGGTGAGCAGGTGACCGCAGATGAAGATCTTTCCCCATCGCTCGAGAACACTATAGTAGTTCTGTGGCTGCAGCTGATCCACCCTGGCCTACCATTACTGGTAAAGCAGAAGTATGGTTCTGAGTTGCGTAACAAGATCCTTGCCTCACTCAAGCCAGAGATCTCACAAGCACTTAATTCCCTCCTTGATGAACTACGCTCCATAGAGGACACCAAAGCCATGCGTATTAGCAATGTCAACCCCAGACGCACCTCTAATGGCGGACAGGGCCAACCACACCGCCGTCCATTTGTATCTTGTATTCTCTGCAAAACCGCTGGACGCCCTCACAACACCCATGATCTAATGGAGTGCCGTTACCTGCCTGATCGTGACAGGAGACCATTGGCCCGCTCACGTCTTATAAACGACGATCCTGATGAGTTTGCGACCGGCGACTGTGGCCCTTATGATGAGTGTTGCGATCATGCCCTCCCGCCTGAGCACAGTGATGTACCTACTGCACCTACTGCACTCCGTGTCAGCATCATTCAATCACCTGTTCTCAACACCTTTTACCACGAGCACCCCGTGCAGCTCACCCTTGATACTGGCGCCACGTCTAACATGGTTCGTGCCTCGTCCGCTAAGTTATATGGCCTACCTGTTACCCCAGCTTCTCAGATGGCCCGCCAGACCGATGGAGTTACCCCTATGGATGTGGTGGGTGAAGTGCATTGCACTCTCACTCGTGGACAGCAAGCATTTAAACTAGACGCCCTAGTTGTTCGCCAACTCGATGTTGACATTTTAGCGGGAAACCCCTTCCTGGCCCGAAACGACATCGGCATCCGTCCTGCCAGGCGCCAAATTGTAATCGGCGGGTCTGACGTAATCCACTATGGTACTGCTTCCAAACACACTACTCAACCAGCTGTGCGACGCACCCAGTCCTTTCTCCTACGCAACCCGCAACGCACAGTTATACTGCCAGGAGAGTACGTTCAGCTTGACACCCTTGTGATTCTGACCCAGATACGTTATGGGCCCTTGAACCCCGACTAGACTGTCCATCCAACACCCCCTCAAGGCAGAAGGAGCATGGCCCCCACCTCAACAAGTCCTCTCTGTGGACCACGCTGTACGCATAACCAATACGACTGACTCTCCTATACTTCTTCGGACCGGCGAGCAGCTGTGTCATGTAAGGCATGTTATACCTGTTGACAGGATAGACACCACATCTGCCACTACCTCTACAGCCACTACTGCCCCTACCTGCTGCCAGCCCTTCTCCACTAATGTGATCCTTGACCCCGATGGCTGCTTAGACGAGGACATTCGCGACAAGTTCAGAGCACTGAATCTGGAGTTTGATGATGTTTTCAACCCCACTATCTCGAAATATAACGGCGCTAGCGGTACCATTGAAGCTGTTGTCAACATTGGTCCCACACTCCCCCCTCAGCGTAAAGGCAGACTCCCACAGTACAACAGAAGCACCCTTGAGGAATTGCAAGCCAAATTTGACGAGCTCGAAGTGGCTGGTGTGTTTGCCAGACCTGAACAGGTGAACGTACACGTTGAGTACTTGAATACCTCCTTCCTTGTTAAGAAACCCAATGGGGGTAGCAGACTTGTGACATCCTTCGGCGAAGTTGCCCAGTATAGCAAGCCCCAGCCTTCTCTAATGCCTAACGTCGATGGTGTACTGCGTGAAATTGGGAAGTGGGAGTATATAGTTATCTCGGACTTGTTAAAGTCGTTCTATCAAATTCCACTGGCTCACTCTTCCATGAAGTACTGTGGGGTAGCCACACCCTTTAAAGGCATCCGTGTTTATACCCGCTCTGCTATGGGCATGCCTGGGTCGGAAACATGCCTCGAGGAGCTAATGTCTCGAGTTCTGGGTGACCTAATTCAAGAGGGTTGTGTTGCCAAAATTGCTGATGACCTGTACGTTGGTGGGAGCAACCCTACAGATGTCCTTCATAATTGGCGGCGCGTTCTTTCCTTGCTTCAACGCAACAATCTTCGTCTCTCCGCGCCCAAAACACTCATCTGTCCCAGAAAGGCCACCGTGTTGGGCTGGGTATGGTCTAATGGCACCCTACAGGCTAGCCCCCACAAGTTAGCCGCATTATCCTCTGTTGATCCTCCTACTACTGTTCAAGGCCTACGATCTTTCGTTGGTGCATACAAGGCGCTCAGCCGAGTACTCCCTAAGTTCGCTGAATTGCTGGACCCCTTGGATCAGGCTACCGCTGGAAAGGAATCTCGAGAAAGACTAGTGTGGTCCGATGAGTTACTCCTGTCTTTCAAGTCCGCCCAACATGCCTTGGAAAACCACAAGACCATCACAATCCCCCAACCCCGCGACGCTTTGTGGATCGTGACAGATGGTTCTGTGAAGAATAGAGGCATCGCAGCCACACTCTACACCCACCGGAACGGTAAACTGCTGTTGGCTGTTTTTTTCAGCGCGAAACTGCGAAAGCATCAAGTGACCTGGCTACCGTGTGAGATCGAAGCTCTGGCCATAGCCTCCTCCATCAAGCACTTCGCCCCTTACATTATCCAGTCATCCCATACAACCGAAGTTCTGACGGACAGTAGGCCTTGTGTCCAAGCCTACGATAAGCTTAGGAGAGGAGAGTTCTCAGCCAGCTCCAGAGTTACCACCTTCCTGTCTACAGTCAGCCGCTATTCTGTCCATGTGCGCCACATTGCAGGTGTTGAAAACCTCCCCTCAGAGTTCGCCTGCAGGCACCCAAGAGAATGCTTGGACTCCAGCTGTCAGATTTGTCGCTTTATTGCTGAGTTGGAAGATTCTGTTGTGCGCAGCATCTCCGTGAGCGAAGTCCTAGAGGGTTCTGTTCGAATGCCCTTCACCAGCCGCGCCGCATGGCAAGCTACCCAGCTGGAATGCCCTCACCTCCGGCGAACCCATTCTCACCTCAGTCAAGGTACCCGACCTTCTAAGAAGGCTACCAAAATAATTGATGTCAAACGCTATCTTCAGGACGTCGTCATCGCCACTGATGGTCTTCTCGTTGTCAAAGACCACCCGCCTTTCCAGCCCCCTCGCGATCGCATTGTTGTCCCTCGCACTGTTCTTGATGGACTCCTGACAGCCCTTCACATCCGTTTCAGTCATCCTTCCAAGTACCAAACCAAGCGCCTTTTTAGCAGGTACTTCTTTGCTCTGGACCTTGACAAAGCAATTGAGACTGTCTCTTCCTGCTGTCACACCTGTCAATCTCTGAAGACTATCCCTAAACACCTGCACCCGCAGTCATCTGCCGATGCTCCTCCTACCATTGGCGTATCATTTGCAGCTGATGTCGCTAAGCGTCATCGTCAACTGATCATGGTTCTAAGGGAAACAGTGTCTTCGTACACCGTGTCTTCCTTCATCGCGAGTGAAAAACTCGAAGACCTCCGCAATGCCATCATCATGCTCTGCTCTCAGCTCCGTTCCCTTCGCGACGGAGGGGTGATCGTCCGCGTTGATCCTGCCCCTGGCTTCTCCGCCCTTGCCAAAGACAGAGTACTCCTCTCTTATGGGATCACCCTGGAGGTTGGTAGGCCCAAAAACCCTAACAAGAATCCTGTGGCTGAGCGCGCAATCGAAGAGCTAGGCTTGGAGATCCTCAACTTGTCTCCTGAGGGAGGCCCCGTCTCTAAAACTACGCTGTCCTTAGCAACGGCCAATATGAACTCTCGCATCCGCCGTGATGGCCTCTCAGCTCTTGAGTTGTGGACGCAACGCGACCAGCTCACTGGTGCGCAGCTTCCAATTGTCGACCGCCAGATTATCCTCAGTCAAAACTTTTCCCGCCAGCAGAATCACATGCCGAGTGCTAAGTCCAAGGCCCATGGCTTTACCAAAGCCTCCATCCCCACTGTCCTTGTTGGTGACCTTGTTTTCAGCAAAGGTGACAAAGACAAACTGAAAGCCCGCGACAAGTATCTTGTGATCGGCATCGATAAAGACCTTTTCTGTCAGCTCCGCAAGTTTACCAGTTCACAGTTCCGCAGTAAGGTCTACACCATTCCTATGTGTGACTGCTACCCTGTCACCCCAACTGTCCTAGCTCAGACTCCACAAGGACCCATCCGTGGCCAGACCGAATCCACTGCTTCTGACTCTGACGATGATCCTGTTCCCGTCGTCCCTTCACTAAGACCCCCTACAGTGCTTGCTTCTCCACCAGTGGATACCTATACTGTTCCGGTACACCACTCAGTGTCTCCAGCTCATTCTCAGCTACCCGCCCAGGAACACCCCCCAATTCCTGAAGTCATTATGCCTTCTCGGAGTCCTCCACAAGCTCCCCTGGACCCCTCTTTTACTGATGATGCACAGCCGACGCCTGCTGCTGTTATCCCCACTAGGAAATCTGACCGCTCGCGGAAAGCCCCATTTTGGCACAATAAGGACTGGGACTTTGACTAATAACTCTGCCGTGTACTCTCTAGCCGTAACAACGGTCTTTACCATGAACTGCGTATTTTATAAGCTCACTCGTACCTTATCATAAGGGGGAATACACCCCACCGTTACATTCAGTTTCATATTTATTCTAGCTCTTTCATTACTTTTAGCCGTTGTTATCCTATGCGGTTTTAGTCTAGTGCTCGTATCAGTTCAGCCTATTGTTCATGTTTTATTTCTTAGTTAGGGTTAGGAAAGAAGGAGGAGGCAATCACGCCACTACGTTGTTATTGCGTTACTTTCAGCGGTATCTAGCGCGCGCATGCGCCCGTGGCTCATCTTTGTAATTCCATGCGGTTCTCGTTCGGTCTTCAGTAAACCTTCGTTAAGACACAGTTTGTTCCTTATTGGCGCTGAATCTTTTCTCAGCGAGAAGTAGTAGTTACAGTGGATGTTCAGTTTCCTTTCCTTTAGCGCTAATAGGCTTGACCATTTGCCACCGTGTAGCTCTGCTCAAGATGCAAGTTCTAATCTCTCCATGACTGCTTGCCATGCTATTGGCCTAATTCAGTGCCAAGCGACACATTGTCTGTCTGTGAACTTTCCCCAGGACTTCTATGGTAGAGAGGAACAACCATAACAGGCCAGAGCCCCGATTTTAATGCGCACCCCAGGAGGCCTAATCTCCACAACAACCACCGTAGATCGGTGATCAGGCTATTTGGGTATTATAAATTCATTTCATGGTCGATTGAAAATTTGGAAGTCGATCTTTGCGGCTGGCTTTGCAATTGATAACTACAGTTTTCTCGCAGCATTTGGATTAAATAGGCTTGATACTCTTTCAATGGTTTTTTAAGTGCTTTCTTTTAAGAGAACAGTGCTCCGATGGCTTATTTAACTTCTTTCAAGAGTAGTATGCCACGTCAACATTGGTGACCTTCAAAGCGAAAATGGCGAGTCGGTGTATCAAGTTTTTACTGAGGAGCTACAAGTAGGATTACACTCTCTGCTGGCACATCTTTCTCCGGTTTGGAAGGAACTCTGGATGGAAAGAGACCCTGACCAAAGAAATTTTTAAATCTTCTCTATTTGAACGTTTGACAAAGGCAGTCAACAATGCACATTTCATAATCGCCGGTGTAAACGAATGCGAGAGCTCGAGCTCTACTTCACATCTCCTTGAAGAACAGCAAGACCGATCATCTGATTCAATGGATGACCTTTTTGATCAAACGGCGAAGGATTCAAGTCTTTTTCTCTGGCTTAAGACGATGTAAGTGTCGATGTGCCTCCAGTGACAAATCACTCTCCAAAAAGCCGCCAAGCACTGACAAAACCCCGCAAAAATCTTATTCGCTGGCAGGAGCCCAAGATGCTGGATTACTCCATAGGGCCACCCTCTCCCTCAGAGCTTACAGGTGGCGTGCCCGAGATTCTGAGGTGAAGATAGTCTTTCTTTTAAAATGTCAGTCATAATCCAAATTATTTTTGTAGGTTATTTTTGTAGTGTCATTTGTTTTTGAAATAGGCCAAATTATGGGGCTTCTCTCTCCCTCAGAGCTTACAGGCTGCGCACCCAAGATTCTGAGGTGATGGTAGTCTCTCTTTTAAAATGTCCGTCATTATCCAAATTATTATTGTAGGTCATCTTTGTAGTGTCATTTGTTTTTGACATATGCCAGATTATGGGGCTACCCTCTCCCTCAGAGCTTACAGGTGGCGTGCCCAAGATTCTGAGGTGATGGTAGTCTTTCTTTTAAAATGTCGGTCATAGTCCAAATTATTTTTGTAGTGTCATTTGTTTTTGAAATAGGCCAAATTATAGGGCCACCCTCTCCCTCAGAGCTTACAGGTGCCACGCCCAAGATTCTGAGGTGAAGATAGTCTTTCATTTAAAATGTCGGTCATTTTTCCAAATGATTATTGTAGGTAATTTTTGTAGTGTCATTTGTTTTTGAAATAGGCCAAATTATGGGGCTTCTCTCTCCCTCAGAGCTTACAGGCTGCGCACCCAAGATTCTGAGGTGATGGTAGTCTCTCTTTTAAAATGTCGGTCATTATCCAAATTATTATTGTAGGTCATCTTTGTAGTGTCATTTGTTTTTGACATAGGCCAAATTATGGGGCTACCCTCTCCCTCAGAGCTTACAGGCTGCGCACCCAAGATTCTGAGGTGATGGTAGTCTCTCTTTTAAAATGTCCGTCATTATCCAAATTATTATTGTAGGTCATCTTTGTCGTGTCATTTGTTTTTGACATATGCCAAATTATAGGGCTACCCTCTCCCTCAGAGCTTACAGGCGGCGTGCCCAAGATTCTGAGGTGATGGTAGTCTTTCTTTTAAAATGTCGGTCATAGTCCAAATTATTTTTGTAGTGTCATCTGTTTTTGAAATAGGCCAAATTATAGGGCTACCCTCTCCCTCAGAGCTTACAGGTGCCACGCCCAAGATTCTGAGGTGAAGATAGTCTTTCATTTAAAATGTCGGTCATTTATCCAAATGATTATTGTAGGTAATTTTTGTAGTGTCATTTGTTTTTGAAATAGGCCAAATTATAGGGCTACCCTCTCCCTCAGAGCTTACAGGCGCCACGCCCAAGATTCTGTGGTGAAGATAGTCTTTCATTTAAAATGTCGGTCATTTATCCAAATGATTATTGTAGGTAATTTTTGTAGTGTCATTTGTTTTTGAAATAGGCCAAATTATAGGGCTACCCTTTTCCTTCAGAGCTTACAGGCGGCATGCCCAAGATTCTGAGGTAATGGTAGTCTTTCTTTTAAAGTGTCGGTCACAGTCCAAATTTTTTTTGTAGTGTCATTTGTTTTTGAAATAGGCCAAATTATAGGGCTACCCTCTCCCTCAGAGCTTACAGGCGCCACGCCCAAGATTCTGAGGTGAAGATAGTCTTTCATTTAAAATGTCGGTCATTTATCCAAATGATTATTGTAGGTAATTTTTGTAGTGTCATTTGTTTTTGAAATAGGCCAGATTAATTATGGGGCTACCCTCTCCGTCAGAGCTTACAGGCGGCGCGCCCAAGATTCTGAGGTGATGGTAGTCTCTCTTTTAAAATGTCGGTCATAATCCAAATTATTTTTGTAGGTTATTTTTGTAGTGTCATTTGTTTTTGAAATAAGCCAAATTATGGGGCTTCCCTCTCCCTCAGAGCTTACAGGCGGCGCGCCCAAGATTCTGAGGTGATGGTAGTCTCTCTTTCTAAATGTTGGTCATTATCTAAATTATTATTGTAGGTTATCTTTGTACTGTCATTTGTTTTGAAATAGGCCAAATTATGGGGCTATCCTCTAAGACCATTGCAGGAAAACTGTTTGGTACCAGAAGAGTAAAATGGTGGCTTTCGGTGCTTTACCTGTCTGATGCTCGGTATGTCACTGCGAAACTGCGCAACAGAATGCGCGAAAAACCCCTCCGGTACTTTTTTTTTTTTTTTTTTTGATATCCACCTAAAAGCCTGAGCGATGTGATTTAGTAACTTATTCATAGTGTTCAGCTTCCGGTTTATTCAGCTTATTGCCAGTTGTAGGCAAAGTTCACGCGCACATTAGAAATATAAATTGCCCACACTGATCACCAATTCTACTTGCAAAGTGTTGCTGATTGAGTTGTGTAATGTATTCTAGAGAGTAAATTTAGTACTAACCTCGCAGACAATGATGTATTGAGACATTTATTTGCGTAGTTAGGCCTGCTATTCATTGGGCAAGCATCCCTTTTCTTTTCTTTCGATAGCCTGTCCATGCACTAACCTTTGGGTACAGAAACTAGCTGCCTCTCGTTGTACCAAAACTTGGTAGTTTTGGTGTTCAATATTTTTAACGGGTGCTCACAAAACACCGGGACTGCATCGTGCGCCTTTGGCGCTTTGGTACCCTGCGAGCTTTGGTTCATCGTGTTTTGAAAGATGGAAATTTTGATATTCCCGCGTAAAAGAAGACTGATAAAACGTGTCTTTCATTGACTACAGTAAAACGTCCGGAAATAAAGGATGTTTTGAAAGAAACAGGAAAATTGATAAAAGTAAATATTTGTTTTGATAAGTGAAATTAATGAGAAATAACCATAAACTAGTTTTGTTTTTTTGTTTTTTAAAAGCGGTTTGTCCGGTACCAGATTTGTACAATTACTTTCAATCAAACATGGATCGGGTTTTGATAATGATGACAGCATTATGTTGACAGCTACAAGGCACATGCTTGCCTAAGCTGCGAGTATCCCGCCATGTTTTAAACAAAGGGCTTCTGACCAAGCCGGCATTCTAATCCGCCACAAATATGTGAAGCACGCGTCTTTCAAAGTCGCCTAGTACTTAAAATCGGGGCTCTGGCCTGTTATATCTCTTTCTAAGAACCACTCATTTGCTGCTTTGTTAACATTTTTAAGTTCTGGGTAAATGCCCTTTGCTCCGCATGCTTGTCATAATAATCCATAGTTCATCTTGAAATGTGTTTTCTAGGATTTCCTTTTCAGCGTGGTCGTCGCCACATGCCACATATTCCATCCTTGGGCTACTCTCACTGTCATTCCATTCATTTCAAACCGTTTGTGTTTTACCCTGACAAACCCATTCAAGTGCAGATAACTATCAATCATATGGATACCAGTGACAAATCGTATGTCCATGACGCGGCAGTATCGTGGGTTGAAAATGTGAATAACGACGGATTCACTGCTTGTGTGATGGCGGCAGGATATAACGAACGAAAGTCGTATGCTAACGTGACAGTTGATTGGATGGCGTACCAAGGTGCTCCAGTGGGTGGCGTGGCTGGTGAAGTGCGCATGTCACAGTGGTGGACTGGTAACACTTGTGCGACTGTCATGTTTCCTACAGTGAGTGACCTTTGTTGGGTTTTCTTGTCCTTTCCATTCTTTTCAAGATCACATCTTTTGAAACGCCTCACTTCTACTGAGGTCACTCAGTTAATAACAGATCGTTTTTAATATGCATCAGAATTTGGTGCAGCCATACACTTATGACCAATAGTCGAACAATGTCATGGTAGTACAAATGGTGGGGGTAGGGAATTTTCGAGCCGCAGGAATTTTTTTTCGTTATCAAACTCCTTGTATGAATTTTTTTTTAGGCCATAGCATGATTATTTTTTAGGGTTAATTGACGTGCATGAATTTTTTTTCATTTAATTTTCCCTTGCGCGAATATTTTTTTTTTGTACTTCGCCCGCCAACCCCCTCATAAGTTTTCTTATGGTCCGTCCCTAATTTCCAGCATATCGCAAATGTCATGGGTTACTTTTTGGCGTTTATGTTACAAGAAATGTGCAAAAATACGAAATTGATTCCTGTTCGTTGCTTTCTAAAAGTTAAGAGTTGCCTAACTCGGGTTTATTTTTCAGGGAAAATTCTCTGTGATATCGTCGGTATTTGTGACTGCCAAGCATTACAATCCAGGATTAAAACGTGACGCAGCAAGTGTATGGATTGAAGATGTCACACAATCATCCTGCAAAGTTTGCTTGAGAGAATTGCAAAACTACGCTGGATCACACCAAGACATTGTTGTTGTAAGTAACGCTAATCTCATGGGACGAACAGCTTTTTTGTTTGAAACTAAGTGCCGTAGACTGGTATCTTTCTCCATCTCTTATTTTCTCCTTTTTACGCTTCCAGCAGTCGTTCCAGGTTCTCTTGGTCTTTTTTCTGCAAGTTTTCATCCGGCTTAACCGCACCTACCCATGTTATTTCTTTCTTGTAACCTAAGATGTCGGTGGCTGTTTTATATAAACCTTCTTGATAGATTACCACGTATTTTCGACGCTGACACAACCTTGTGGTAGTTAGGACGTGTGACTTAAAAAGAATTCGTTCTTTTTATTGTTATTTATTTATTTATTTATTACCTCCTTTATTTCAGAATTGGTTAGCGTTTTCATATCTTGACGAGCCTCCCTTCTCAGAACACAACTCGATTTACTTTGCAAATGATAAACCTCCCGCTCAGAGTCATTATAATGCCTTCTGCAAGGTCAGTATTCCAGTCCTTTTTCAGTCTTTTGACTTTCAATTCCCTTCACAGTGCAGTTAATTTTATTGAATAAATTTACGGTCACAGAGCAAAAGCAAACGGTTCCCCTATCATGTCTCTAGTGATGGTAGTTGCATTTAATCAGTTTAGCAGGCTGTCTGTCATATTTCATTGAGTATTTAAAATGAAAATGAAATATAGATCATAAATGTCCTAATGTGGAGGAAGTCTTTACCTGAAGGAATGTGGATCCGGTCGTCTAGAGATAAAACTTCAAAACCTTTGAGTATAAAATGGCCTAATGAACCAATCAAAGCCCTCGGTATTTATTACTCATACGGTATCAAACTTTTGCACTAAAAAAAATTTATTGAGAGATTGGACAGTGTCAAATAAAATTAATCAACATTTGGTCTTCAAGAGGTCTTTCTATCTATGTAAAAGTAACAATTATCAAGTCTTTAATCATACCAAAATTTGTTTACATTTCCTTGCTTCTGTCGGTCTCCAAGAAAATCGTTAAAGGGTTAAATCAAATGATATTTAAATTTTTGTGAAAAGGAACGGATGAAGTGACAAGACTTTCCACATTAACGGAATATGAAAGCGGTGGTTTAAAAATGATCGATCTGGAAAGTATGATTAAATCTTTACGACTAGCCTGGCTGAAAAGGATCTTCCAGTGCAGCAATGGTGCTTGGAGAAGCTTTTTACGGTTTTCTTTGGAACCTTTTGGGGGCCTCTTTTCATTTCATTGTAATTATAACATTAAAGAGATACATATTTCCTCTAATTTCTATTCGGAGTTACTTCAATGGTGGTCTGAGTTTCGTAGTGTTTTCGATAGTAGAAGGGAATGTCAATACATTTTGTGGAATAACAAAGAGATACGTGTTGATAATAAGCCTGTTTTCTATAAAAAAAAAAAAAAAAAAACTTTTTGAACTAGATGTCATTTTCGTAAATGATCTCGTTTGTTTGAATTAGACACCACAAATTCTTTTACTATTATTTCGAATAAAATTAGCAAGATTAACTACCTAATTTAGGCAGGACTTCGTCATCCTGTTCCAAAACATTTAAAGAATAGCAATTGTCTTCGCTCAGAAATAAGCTTAATATTGACAATTGATAACAAAAAATTTGATATATTAGAAAAGAAATCTAAAGATTACTACATGCTAATTAAAAGAATAATTGCCCAGTGTCCAAAAAACTCCAAACACTTGTGTCAAGATTTCAATCTAACCCAAGACCAGCTGAAAAAAGTATTCCTTCTTCCACATGAGGTAGCGTTTGAACCTTATCTAAAAGGTTTTCAATACAAAGTCCTTAATTCAATTTTATTTACCAATCAAAAGTTATGCGAAATAGGTTATATTCAAGATGATAAATGTTCACTATTCAAAACGGATTCGGAATCCCTTTACCACATCTTTTTCGAATGCAGACACACCAAGCAGTTTTGGAAGGAATTTCAATATTACTATTACACATTGACGAGAGTATTCGTCTGTCTGACCTTACAAGACGTTATTACAAGAATATTATATACAAATTGCCCTTTACTGAATTATTTGATATATTTGATACTGATCGCTAAACTATACTTATGGGATTGTAGAAGTAATCAAACTCTTCCAGTCATAACTGCCTTTTCATCCAAGGTTAAAATTAAGTATGAAACAGAAAAGTATATATGTGTTAAAACTAATAATATGGACAAATTTCATAAGAAGTGGGCTCTGCCTTTGGACTCTGTACCCTAGTGTCGTTTGTACTTAGAACGTATTTTTCTTTTTTTTTGTATAATTACTTTTAATTATCGTTAAAGTTCATAGTGTAATGTAATGTAATGTATTTGCAATTTATTGTAACGTAATATCATGTAATGTCATGTAACGTTAGTATTGTAACGCTGTGGAGTATTTAATAAAAGTTTGAAAAGTTAAAAAAAAAAAATCTTTACCTTTTTATAAATGTCAGAGACTGGATTTTTACAATTATGTAATTTCTTTTCACAGGACGCTACTTTTACTAAAGTTTATAACTCAACTCCACATGTGTTTGTTTCCGCCAATCATTCCACCAAAAATGGAAGTCAGAGTCCAATTCATAACAGCATAGCTGAGTGGGTAGAGGTATGTTTTATTTCTTTATTTACTTGTTTATTTTTTCCTTTTTTATGAATTTCTGTAACATACCACTTGCAACCACAGTTACATGTGGTGTGTGCATGTTTAAAAACCTTATGAAGATACGAATGACTATAATAAACACTCTCTCTCTCTCTCTCTCGTCCTGTTGAGCATAACAGCTTATAAAATATATACCAAACGTGCGAAAAACAGCACAAAAGTTAAATTTTATCCGTTTAACTAACGATGAGGCCGGGGGGAACTTCGGTTAATGTTTGCTGGTATGTGCCGCTGGCCTCTCAGAGTCCCTACCCCGTTACAGTCTATTGTTTGGCCAATTATATACCCCATCTTAGTCACTTTTTGGAAAATGTAATTTTCGCGATGCCAATGTCCATTTATGCATCTACCTTATCAATGTGGTTTCAAGCGGCGGAATGTAATGCGGTCAATGCGAGCTTATTGTTAAATTTAACAAACAACAACGTTCTAATTTTTTAACCGAGGATCCTCTCATTAGCCAAAAAATCCGTAAATTTTCGACCCCATTCAAGTAAATCTATTAAAAATGCGACCCCATCCAGCGGATCATCCCTATTAGTCTCTTGTTAGGGGGTAAACCCCCCCGGGGGATCAGGCATAACCCTAGTAAAATAGCCATGAATATTATGGAAAGTTGTTAAACCTGTGTTTAAAAAAAGCTGTGTAGCTGTATAGAGGAAGGTAAGCCTCTGTTTTGTTTTTCCGGCAAACAAATGTTGTCAACCAAAAGCAATGAGAAACTAAAATTGATGTTAAGCAAGAGAGAATGAGCTAAGAGAGCGAATCCCTGTGCCCCATGATGATTATTTGAAATCTATTGAAAGTTCGCACGCGTGCGATGAAGGTTATTTTTATCTGCTGTTTCCGTGACGCGCGCGGTCTACTTTCCCGTGAACGCGACATATTTCGCCGCCAAACATTTGAAGTTTGGCAGCAGTTATAGCAATTATCGCATGAGAGGTTTAAGTTGTTGACATGTAATAACGCGCACCTAATTGTCCATTAGCTCTTTCCTCTTCCCTATGAAGCCCTGTCATGCAAACTTGTTGAACATGGTTGAACACTTCTTAACATGCGTCAAACTGAGAAATATGGAAAAGGGTTCTAGTCAAGACCTACATGAACTATTCTATAGTTTTTTCTACTAGCAAGGGAGAAAAAACGCGGTCAGCCTTCCGTTTGAACTACTGAGTGAGCTGATAAACATCGATTTCTTGCAGTACATCAACAAGACAGGCTTTCGTGCTTGTGTCAAAGAATTATATGAAGCAAAGTATGACCCAGTGTTAGTAACGTACACAGTCTTGTCAGGTAAGAGCCCTACTGCTACAAAACTAATAAACTTCATTGCTTACTAACTCTCTGAATAACTTATAAGGAATACGAGCAATGCACAAAAAGAATGTGCGGAAACTGAAGCAAGTCAAAAAAATTGCATTCAGGTGATGATGAAAAACAACGTTCATCCCTTCTTCCAAATACATATAAATGTGTATAATGGAGTGCTTTATAATACTTGCAGTTGTTCTTGTGTTATGTATCACCTTCATTGTGTCCTGAACAAAAAGCTTCTGCTTTCCCATTTCCTTTTGTAATCGCCAAAAAAAAAATAACCAAAATGTTCGAAGTACATAAAGGGACGGACCATTAGAAAACTTATTGGGGGGGCGAAGTACAAAGAAAATATTCGCGCAAGGGAAAGTTAAATGAAAAAAAAAACATGCACGCCAATTAACCCTAAAAAAATATTAATGCTACAGCCTGAAAAATCCATTATACAAGGAATTTGATAACGAAAAAAAAGTTCTGCGGCTCAAAAATTCCCCACTCCCCACAACTTTTCTAATGGTCCGTCCCCAACTGCACCTAAAAGCTATACATTTTAAGCAATATCATTTTGCAGTTCACTAATTCCTACTTTGTATACGCGCAGACATCTGTCCATCTGGATGGGATTACTTCAATGGATACTGCTATTTAACAAGCACTGTATGCGCACCTTGGGTGACTGCTCTGTCCAACTGTTCAGCAATGAACTCACATCTGGTAACAGTGCACAACCAAGAAGAAAATGCCTACATTCAGCACCGTCATAATGGAGAGCGATCATGGATTGGACTTAATGACCGAAGCGTTGAGGGATCATTTGTCTGGACAAACAAGGAAATAACCAGTTTTTGGTTCTGGGCTCCGCACCAACCAAACAACAGGAAAAAGGAAGACTGTGTTCATACTCTGGGTGCCAATAATGGCTATACTTGGAACGATGTGTCCTGCGATAACTGCTATAACTATACTTGTGTTCAAGGTAAAAGCGGTCATTAGGTCCATTTACAAAATGCAACTTACATAAAACGGTTCTGCTTTCTCCTTGAAGTTGTCACCTGAATTAAACTGATGTAGCGGGTTGTTATTCACTGCAACACTGATACTTTTTGGTAGGAAAGGTGGTAATGTCACCAAAACAATAATAACATAAAAAACCATTAAGCGCGCATTACTGTACTGCCTCTTTTCATTTCATGTTTCCAACTTGAGACTCTGATACCCATTCACTGGAGAAGTAGATTTTTAAAAGGAGGCATGGTAGGCCGTTTTTTTAGATAGTCTTTGAGCTGTTCAGTTGTGGGGTGAAAATACTAGGTCGAGTGTTTGATATAGCCTGTCAAATGTTTCTTGAAGAAATGTAGGACGTAGTTAATAGAACAGACAGGTTATGAAACCCGGCAAACAACGCTACTGAAGTTTAAGCTTGGAGCTCCCGGATGGTGTACAATCTTTTCTTTTTTTGTTGTTCACAAAATAACTGTAACTGAATATATTAGTTAATGCCACGTTTTGGTGAGAAAAACCAAAGGAAGTTGATTGACCACTCCAACATTACTGTAGAACGGCATCTCAATCATAATGGCCTTCATTTAAATAAAATTAGGAACCTCTCAACTTGCTCGTAATTTTTAAAAATTTATTAAGCATGAGGATTAGGATACTGCCGTTTACGAGCCTGAAAGACAAGTGCTGAAGGATAATAAGTGTCATGTTACCACAAGGGGTAAGTCTTATAATATTGGTAACAACTCCTTCGGCCGAGGCTTGGTGATGGCGTCTCTTAACATAAATAGCTTGTTAGCGCATATTGACCAGCTTCGAGAAGTTATGTCTAACTCTGAAATTGATATACTCTCTATCAGTGAAACGAAATTATACTTACCCGGTTTTGAAATAACAAGGAAAGAAAAAGTTGAACGGGTGCAATGGAGGTGGTGTTTGTAAGTGTGTGCTGTGAAGACTTAAGCACGGAAAATCTTGAATGTTTTAAGTTCTAGAATTTTTTAGATTTCTATTTTTTTCTTCAAGAGTATTCATGAGTTCAAGTTGAGAATATAGTAATCTCGGTAAATATTCATATAGAACGTTATAACTGACTATAGAACAAGATGACTGAATGAAGCGTAATTTCTTCCAGAAATTGACGAATGCACAACTAACTATCACAGATGTGATGTGAATGCTGCTTGCCAGAATACCGTGGGCTCATACAAATGTACTTGCAAAGCTGGATACTCTGGAAATGGCCGCAAATGCGTTGGTGAGTACTGAAGTTTGCTTTAAACATCTTCTGTCGTAATTTTTCTCTGTGTCAAGTTTATATATAGACTAAATAAGGATGTTGTTTGTTAATAAAAAAGTAGTTTCCGTGTCTTTAGTATCTTTTTAAGGACATCATACCGTATTTACAAATACATTAATTTAGGTACATGAAAAGTTCGGCATCTTAATCAATTGGGCCCGGTTCAGACACCGCACCAGTCATGTCCCGAACCTAACTGATAAATTAAGTACGGCAAAAGAGCGGCGTTTAAATCAATTTGGTATGGCCGTTTTAATTAGGTGCGGTAGAAACGTCTGAAGATCAACAGAGTCTGTCGCATTATTCGACATTGCAGCGGCATGTGATTCATACGGCGTTCCTCTTAAGTGCCGAACCTAATGCATCAGGGGCACCGAACGAGAATATAGTTCAAAACCACTTAAACATAGCATTGTTAAACGTAATTTAGTATTTAAACTGTAGATATACGCATATTTTTATCCCTTAAAAAGTTCTCATCTGTTCGGATTTCCTAGCTGAAAGTCTAGTGATCCGAAAATTATACGGATCAAAACCTTTTCGAAAATATCACCCAGAAAAAGGGCTCCCGAAAATTCTAGGTGACATTTTTAGGGTAAAAATCCGTTAAAAATGGGCAATTATACCACTTTTTAGATGTTCGAAAATCCTAGGAGAGGCAGGCAAGCGAGAAATTGTACAACAAATGTTCCGAAAATCGTCTTCCGAACAGATATTTTCCGAAAGTTAAGAAATGGTAAACGTGCAGCGTGCAACCATGGAGTTATGGATGCACGCGGGAGGTTGCTAAGCACGAAAGAAGCATATCGCCTCGTGCGACTCTAGCTTCTTGAGTGCTTAGCAAGCCTCCCAAGTGCATCCATGATTCCATGGTTGCACAGCTGCAACGTTTACCATTTCTTTTATAACATAATCAAAGGAGAAAAACATTATTTTCCATTTGCCTTCGGCTGAGTCATCGGTACGAGTTCATGTATGCTGCCATCTGCCCGCGCGTAAACAAATCATGTTCAATGTTTTTCATAAACTTGCCTTTGAGTTTTTCTTCCGCTGAATCAATCGTTCTCCGTCTTCAGGTAAATTGCAAAACGTTTTTCGTTGTTATTCTGAATGGCATCTTTCTACTTGCTCTTAATATTAGGGTAAAAACTTTGAGGGAACACTAAAGCTGCAAATATAAACACCACTGAACTAAAAAGACTTTAAAAAATAAGCTAAAACTAAATAAATGAAATAATTATCAAGCTTATTTGTGTGACAATTTTTGAAATAAACGTAAAGTAGAAATGAGAAAATTTGACTGTAATTCCTTTAGAATAACAGGTAAAACTAATTTTAAAAAGAAATTAACTAGCTTTGTATCGAAATCTGTCTAGGGAAATCCAGCTATGAAAGTTAAAGTTGCAACTGAAATTCGCCGACACACAGCCGGCGCTGAAGCTGTTGTTTTTCGACCGTTCTCTGAACGACTGTTATGAATGAACACTGAGGAACAAAATAATACACACAGAAGTTATTTTTTGAAATTTATTTGAAAACCCAAATGTTTCTGTACTCAAATGACATTCACTTATTCCAGCGTAATGTGCCCGTTTAAACTCAACTAAAATTTTTAATCGATGCGATGAACTTCACAACAAAGCTGTCTCGAATTTGAGCGTGTTTCCTAAAATATTTGCTTGAATTTAGCATCAGCTTGACCAAAAAGTCAATAACACAATGCTAATTGATAAATTTGCATTTCGAACAGACTTTCTCTTCTTTAAAAAAGACACACAATGAAATGTACCTTAAATCTTCGCTCGCTCGATTTTCCTTCAGCCGATTCTACCCGCGAGGAAAACAGTGATTAATTCATCCAGGGCAAATTTGTCGCTTGATCTTTTGTCTTTTTTCCTTCAAAACGTCAGCTTAGTATTTTCTTCAACTTCCACTTTTCATCTGTGCATTTTATCGGTGTATTTTACCGTCAGGAGAGGAGATTTGTTGAATTTACCTAAATTTTACCGCGCTAGCTCAGTTTCTTGGCGTACACCCACGGGCAAATGGTAGTGGCTGACTAACCAATCAAAGCGCGCGATTTACTTTTGTTATGTTATAATTGACGTTCAGGGTGGAAAAAAGTAATGAGCATGGGTGAACTTTTTTGCCCAGATCCCCTGGCCGGGTTTGAAAAAATGGCGGGATTTCAAATATTTTATTTTCTAAAAATAAAATGTTTCCACTCATAACCTGGAAAGAACGGGCAATTTGTCTTCAAAAGTTGCAAGCTGTGGTTATAACCTTGTCGTTACTTAATTTTCTCGAAGAATTCCTCATAGGAAAACGGACTTAAACGACATTAATTTCCTTGCGTTGTAAGGGAAGTGTGCATGCGTAGGTCCGAGTTTTTTCAAGATGCATTCACAAAATGTGCTCATATAAGGAAGTTCCTGGATATATAAGGTCCGGAGCTCCACTGTGGACACAAAAACAACATATCTTTGGACAGTGATTTGCCCAAAAAAATTAACACTTGCCCACGATGTGTTTGAAGTCACTGAACTTTGTCGCACTCGAGCTGATATTTTAAAACCGTCGCTCGATCGGACACTCGTAGTTTCGCAGATCACTAAAATATAAACAAAATCCTCAATGTAGAAGTTATTGTGTTGATATGTGGGCAGAAGAAAGGTCAATCTTAATCTAGTAAAATCTTCCCAAAAATCGGTTTCAAAGCAACTATATAGTTCTTTAACTTGCTCGTTTCGCGCAGATATATAAATTTTGCTTTGTGTTGTCAAGTTGAACACGCATAACATCTGTCAGAAACCTACGCGTAAGTAGGATTTCGTTGGAACAAAGTTAAAGCTACATTATTTCAAAAACTTCTTGCTGACAATGAACAAATGAATTTTCTGTAAGAAAACAACCTACCTAAAGATCTTAAAAGCAAAGGATCAGTTGCAACTTGGCAGCCAGGCCATGATTCACCATTTAGCTATTTTCAATAAGCTTAACTGGTCCATGCGAGGGTCTTCGTGTAAGCAAATTAAACTCAGCCGATCATTAGAAAGTACAGAAAATTGCACATAAGGGTTTGTTTTGCTCGCCTCAGTCAAATCCAGCTGCAGCAATTGTTTACGGAAAAAGAGTCAATTGTTTTGAAGTCACTGCCAGCAGTTGTCGTTCTCTACTTCTCAGCGAACTCGAGTGAAAAGGACAATTTGCGTACAGAAAGTTATTCTTATAAAGAACAGAAACTTTCACAGTGCACTGGAAAACAAAACTATGTAATGAAAAATGAAAAAAACTCTGACTATTATTACTTGAGCAACAGAAAAATGATCTTGAGTAAGCTTGCTAGCCTTCTATTTCCGAAAAAGTTTAATAAGCGCACAAGTTTGTTCACTCTGATGCGTTATATTACAGCAATATGGTTCTTTGACTGAAGACAAAGATAAAGCTGGTTCTGCAAAGGTAATAAATCTGGGCATGTAAAAAAAGTAACCGCAACTACTAATGACAGAATACCAGCGGGTTTTTATTCAACCCGGCTAAGTCAACTCATAAATTAATCGGTTGCACAATCAGGAAAAATACTCGCCTCTTTAGAAATGTTCAAAACCTTTTATTCCACCTAAGACTGACGGAATGATCCGTTTTTCCTTTAACATTGGTTGTTCTGAATCCAAAGTAATTTTCAAGCGACGAAAAAAACAGCAAACATGTCAAATAAAAAAGGTTTTACAGGGAGCAAACGCTCGCACCTCGTGCATTTTTTAACTCAACTCCAGCAGCAAACAAGCACAGTCAGCGCAGTCAACACACAGAAAGTTCCCGCCTTGAGCCTGCGATAGGCGATGCGCAGAAGCTTGCGCAGAACGTTTTTCCGCCCTGAATAATTGGCGTTGGGTGCCCCTGAGGCATACATGCATACATTGAATTTATAATTTTTTGCCCCCGCAGGGATTTCGCCCAGGGGCGAAATCCCGAGGAGGCACCCTAGTAACTCGCGCGTATATTAAGGACAGTACTTACAGTTCAAATATACAGTCAGTATACTAGAAAAAATCTCGATTTGCTCGAACTGGGACCGCGAGGAATCGGTAGGTAATGATGACCTTTCTATTGTTTGCGCCCGCTAGTACGAAATGGTTAGGATGACGTAAAGACAGAAAATCCCGAAGGGACCGCTCAGGTAGATTTTGTGACATTTATTGTGCATTCATACTTCGATACTCTTTTGCGTTACGCAGTGACATTCTGTGGAGCAGTTGTTTTGAAAGTTATGGACCAAAAGACACTCATTAAGTGCAGGGGAGGTTATAGGGTGCGTTTAAGTGTGTAGATATATAAACAATTTTTCCAGACACGAGTTCACAAATCTTTGATTTATATTGGAAACCTTGCCAGACACTCTTTCTCTCTCTTTGACCGGAATAAGACTCAGCCCCAAACGAGTAAGACGAATGAACAACGGCTAGCTTATCACTAGCAGATTGATGGACATTTACAGAAATTCGCCGACAATCAAATTCTGTGCTGACTTGTTCCCTGCTCACAGATGTCCATCCATTATAAAGTTTCAAATAAGACTAGAATGCGCTAGAGTGAATCGATCAAACGTCCTTTTAATTTCTAAGGCTTACTTTCCGGCAAATAAAATGAACTGATTGTAAAAAGGGAAAGAGAAAGCGAAAAATTCAACTTCTAATTAAATCTTTTCTTATGGTTTAGAATAAACTATTCTCGAAACTGAGAATGTTTTGATCAAAGCTGTGTAAGTCGAGCTGAAACTGTGCATGGAACGTTGCGTTTCCTGTATTAATTTATCTCACCTATTGTATGGAATATGTGTGAAAATCTTCATTATGAATCGGTATATTTCAAAGAGCTACACAACCAGCAAGAATACTATTGATCGACAATATACAGAGCGGGGGCAGCTGTAGTGTCAACTATTACTAGTCCTACAATACCGCTCGTTTTTACGTAGTTGCCATGCCCAGAACACTAAATTGAGAAAAAAGGCGGGTGAAAAAGAACAATCTTGCTCCTCTTGCTTTAAGAGTGCAAAATATACTTGTTTACGGTGCCAGGGATACTTCTGTGTCCTTTGTTCTGTCTTCGAGAATGATGAAAGGTCAAACTGTCAAGCGGCTGGAAAGCAGGCAGTTCAGTCGCATATTGTGAGCCATGTTTCCGAGAAGTTATGGAGGAGCAAGAAAAGATCGAATGTAATGATTCAAATGAATTTGGCAAAAAAAGAGATCTACAGAAGCAAGAAGAATGGTGTTCTACAAAGTGGAAATCAATTATGGCGTGAAAATATGGTATCTAACCCAGGCTTTTCTCTTTCTCCATACATGAAATAAAGATCAGGATCGACACACGGTACGCCGTGTGAATCAGTTGCCGCGTCAACGTCGCTCCAAAGTCGGACCTAATTCAACTAGGTTCTGCACGTAATTAGTGGAGCGGCTTCTGAACCGAGCCTTAGGAACGCCTATTTCAATTTGGAACTGTTCAGCCGTTTTTCCCGCTTAGCTCGGCCAGGAATTTCGACTTTGGAGCGACTTTAATTCAGACACCGAACTTTTCGTGTGCCGAACCTAATGCATAAATTATTATAACGTATGTTACAAGCAGTTTGAAGGAAATGAGCATTTTTCTCCTTTTTAATTTAGTTGGCTGGAATTAAGCGCGGCATCTGAATCAATTCAGCCTGTCTAAATAATGTTGGTCGGCCTCAATTCGAATTAACGGGGCCTAACGCATTCATCTTTTTCATTTTTCAGCAGTTTTAGAAAACTGCCATATTCGTATCAGTCATCGCTTTCCTTTGTAACGTAGAGTGAAAAGAAAATGACAATAAAGAAAGAAACGCAATTTAATTTATGTTTCCCTCTTTTTTTCAAATAAAGACGAGTGCAAAAGTAATACCCATAACTGTGACAGAAATCTGCTGTGTAAAAACACTAAGGGGTCTTTCATCTGCACCTGTAAACCTGGTTACAAAAGAGATGGCAAGAAGTGTAAACGTAAATATTTCAGTACCAAGATCTTCGCATTCGCTGCATTTCAGTAATAATTGATTAGTCAAACACATTAAATTGAGTCTTAGCTATGAACTGGAACTAGCCTGCAGTACAATTAAGCTTAAGCGGGGGGATTCTGTTCACAGGCAAATAGTCATATAATATTTCTTCATTAGCCGGTAATTAATTAACAGGAATCACTTCTCGTCTGAATGTATGAAGCAACACTCGAGGTCCTCTCCTGGAAACCATAGCATGTATATTGTCGCCATTATTTGCTTTGAAAGAGATTGCAAGTTTCATTGATTAACAGAGCTCTGCAAAGCTCTTCTCTTTTGTTTTCAGTATTCGAATTGTTAAGGTTATTGACCCTTGCGGTATCCTTGGCCATTTATAATATATTTCTAATTATCAAACATGTTTTGCTTTCTTCATTCAAAGCTTACAGGAACATTACATTAGGATACTGTCTTCAAGCGAGGCGTGAAGTGGATCATTAAATTGTTGATGCCTATTTTGTTGTAGCGACACGATCCTGCAAAGAAATCAAGGACTTAGGTATCCCCAATGGCGACGGGGAGTACTGGATTGACCCTGGAAGGACTAAAAGTCCTTTAAAGGCATATTGTGACATGACAACTGACGGAGGTAAGGTTTGACTCGAAGATGACACCTTCTTGGGGCTGGTACGTTGATCAGTAATACCCTGCGTTCCACAAAGGATCCAAATTGCGCTAGAATGTTTTCTTATTCGGCCCCCTTTTTATCTCTGGTAAGGCACTGTAAAGCTGATTCACTTACGAAGATTCGAGGGAGAACTATTCCTTGAGGTTATTCTGATTTCGCAGTCACCTGAAAACAGACCTAGAATCAGGTCCGCTCGCTGACGCCATGCTACAATCTACAAGGTCTCAAGAACAGAAATTACCCATTAAACGGCCTCTCCTTTCGAAGATTGCATGCATTTCATTAAAACAGGTACATATAAAAAGAATATTGTTAGTTTCTCCCATTTAGCGAGCTCAAATCGACGCATAAAACTAAGGTGACGTGCACGTGTCAATTGACCCTGGGATCAATTAGCAGTTGTTTGGGGAAAAATAACCTCAAAATAATCAATCTATTTCACAAGCGTTCGCAAGAACACCAGACTAACTTTCAGATAATGTTGAAGTACTATATCTCATTGGGTAGTAACCCGGATTTGGGGTGATTTGGAGAATTCCCCCATATAGAAAATTCGATTTTGGTTTTAGCGTTAAATTGTTGTATTTATAAGCATTATGCAGATTAGGTTTCAAAATTGTGCTCGTTTGTCGATATTTTATTCTCTAAATCTAAAAAATGTGCCGTTTAGAAATTGTTAGATATTTGTTTTTTGAGATTAAAGTGGAAGATTGCCAATATATTCGCTCGTTTATGAAAGTCAGCTCATTTCTGTCGGTGGGCTGTATTCCCGTGTTCGGCGGCTAATTTTAGGCCCGCAGACCGTTGAAATCGAAAATCTCAAATAATTCCCAAACTCGGTAGCCTGCGTGCAGACGATAACTAAACTCTGATTAGGAGTTAACCGGAGTTTAATTTCGTCTGCGCGCAGGTTACAAACTCGGCCGCACTTTGAAATTTAAACCTCAGCAGTGTTATAAACTCATTAAAACCTTATTACAGACTGAAAATGAGGGTAGGTTAGGTTTTGAGCTGTGGCCACGGCTTGCTCGGTTTTTCTGTACATTCGCTCTTAATTAGGTAAAAACCTCTATTTTCGTTTTTCCTCATTTTCTCGAAAACTATAGATTCTTGAAAGTTAAAAATATTTTTTCGAAGATAGTTCCCCAAAGGGGTTTTTCTGACAAATTATCACACAAAATTCACATCGATAATTTAGTCCTTACTTGCAAAACTAGGCTTTGTATGACAATTAGCAATTATTGGATGAGGTTGAGTATCATCTGATAATTATGCAGGCCGAGAAGGGTTCGGCTTCGGCGAATAACACCCCAGTGAGAGTATCCGGTTAATGACTTTTATAGTACAGGCTATCGCCAGAAACTATGGACAGCAGCAGAGACGCCTGAGTACGAGTTAGCTCAGTTGTTTTGCGTATTGCCAGAGAATTTTACTGGTTTTGTCAAGAAAAAAAAAAATACTCGATCTACGACTTAAAAACATAGCAAAAACAGCAAAAATACAACTCGACGGATAGTATCTGCTAATTGAAGAATAACTGTAAGAATAAGCATACCGTTATATCCTGAATTTGCCGAGGAACAAATTCACGCGAGAGCCATTAGTTTATCAGTTTTTCTTGTAACTGTCAAGTGTTACCATGGAGAAGTTGTTTGAATGAATAATAATATGCGCTTTTTGCGCCAAGCCTCCTTTTAGTGTCAACTTGAGACTAGCACCCTCTTAGCGAGTCACAAATTTCTTAGTCCAGGGTTCTTACTTCTGTACAATACCGCAAACGAGCCCCATTAACAACCGCAAGTGATCCCGTGAAAAGTAGAGGAATGGAGTGGATTTTAGACATAGATGGTGAATGTGCTGAGAATCTGCACATCGCCTCGAACAATGAAATGAATAAAACTATAAATAATCAAACTGTTTCTTTTGGTATTTTTTTTCTCCTTTTTTAGTCAAGATGTTACGTTGCTTTGAAATTTTAAGACAGGAAGGACGTTAAGAAGGAAACTTGTCTTTCATTTTAACGCCTAGGAATAGGGAAATATGACCACTTTATTTATCACTGTGTAGAGGTTTTCGGTTTATTTCGAAAGACACTTTGCATCTACAGCTCATGAAAATGTCTCGTCTGGTGGTAACGACCCTGTCGTTGCAAACCTGTGTATTCATTTCTAGTGTCTTTGCTACTGGAGAGCGCCCCTGGAGAGCGCCCCTAAAAACGCCTGCGTGGGAGGCTACTGGAGACAAAGACAGTTACAAAGATACGAAATCAAGGGAAGAGAAACAAAGGAACGATTAAATGGAATTCTCCTAATGGGGTTGTACTAGCCGGTGAGCTTTTATCTGGGGTCGTTTTCAGAGACTTTCGCCGTTACAAGAGGATCGTTTACGGTCGGAATCAGTTGCGGTACTGTAAAGTTCGCCTGAGTTATATTTAACAATGATTAGGCCCACGCTGAGTTTCCGCCGTGTGAATTATTTTTGAACTAAACATTACTGCTTCTTTTGGCCCACATGACTGATAAACCAATGATAAACATTTATCGAATTTCAGGGGGATGGCTTCTTGTATCCAACGTTGTTTCGCACGGTTCTTCAACGACTCAGTTGCCAGTTAAGACATCGTACCGCGGAGTAAGCAGCAAAGAGATGTTACTCACAAAGAGTGCCATGAAGGAGCTGAGAAAGCACTTGCATTTCACTCAGATAAGATTTTACTGCAAGAAAGGAGGAGGTCGTACATTTCACATCACCACAGCTGCTAACAGCAAAGGTGAAGCTGCTGTAAAATACTTCAGTGGTGAGACAGATGTGATGCCTGGCTCTTGTGGCTCGTTTGTGATCATGAGCAATGATAACTCGCGGTTATCAAGAGCCTGCAAAGATTGGGGTTACGAAAACGGTTCTAGCAAAATAGGCAAATGGGGGGCACAGAGCGTTCAGACGAGATTATACGACCACACTGCTTTTGTATGGGCAGCTTACCACTGGCTTCTTGAACCGTCTGGCAGATGGGAATGCGACGATTATAATGTGGGAGTGTCACGTGGCGATTTTTGGAAAATCTTCGTGCGATAGGACCTTATAGATTGAAGTCACCATAACGGAAGCCTTTTTTTTAAATTTTAAGGGGTCAATTTTAAAAGAAAGCTAACCACATCGGCACTATTCAACACCAGGATCTAAAGTAAAAACAAGCAAGAATTACTGCAATGGTCCTAGTGTGAGTGAAAGGGAAATAATATAACACTCAATAAATGGCATCATGTAGTATTAGATGAAATAAAAATAAAGAAAGTGGGTGATTCATTAGTACCGGCTTTTCTCTTACCCCCCGGGACCACGGAAATGTGCGATTTAACGTACATAGCCTGATGCAACAGTCAAACTAGCTCCATACCATTTTTATTATTATTCCTGGTATTTCTGAAGGGAATCTTCATTCCATTTCCCACCAATCGACAGGAAATAAGTAATGTTCCTGATTGCTGAAAGTGCGACAAAAATTGTTTGTAAATGTACCTCCTGTAAGTAGTTACCACTGATCCTCATGCACCAAGGATCAATTATCGTTTCGAGTTAAGGGACATGTCTAAAGTTCCAATGTATTAAACTGGCATGTAAACTGTCTAACGTTCTGAAAAATTAAAAATACATTTATCTAGGGTGACCAGTGGCACGAACTCCCTAGAGCCACCCTCGGCGAGTGAAAAGTAACATTATGCAAATTAATTTGGGCTTGTTCCTACGCGGGTTCGCCACTCCCATCTCCGGAGGGGGAGGGGGAAGGGGGTAGGGGGCAAACCCAATTACATTTTCTACACAGAGGCTCCGTTCGAGTTTCAAGCCCTTAGCGTTTTCATCGTACCTTTTTTGACAGAAAAGATACCGTTTTCATATACCTTCTATTCACAAATCGCACCCCTTTCACATATTTAGCCTAGAACACTGCATCCCTTTTCACTGCTGTGAATGCACTGTCTTCTTTTGAATATGAATAAATCACTAAGGCAGGAAGTTTTCTTGATTTCTACAAAGCCTTTAAAAACCATTTGCGTAGCCCTTTCAGTTCTTTATACACCAAGTAGCAGATTTCCTTTCCCTTCCATGTACCTCAACTCGTCAAATCCCTACCCTTTTATATACCTGAAAAAGGTACCCCTTTCGGGCGGAGCCTCCCAGTACAGCAAATTATAGGGAGTACCCCATCGGATCCCCTCTCATGCGTGCTCTTGATATACTGTGACTCAGTATAGGTAATCACATGATTTCGAGTGCAATTTGGAATAAATAAGCACGAGTAAATTTTTCAAAGACCAACAAAAGTGCACGAGCCCGTAGGGCGAGTGCACTTTGTGGTCTTTGAAAAATTTACAAGTGCTTATTTATTCCAAATTGCACGAGAAAAATCATGTGATTACTTATTAATGATATACACGAAAAACATAACTACAACAACAAATTTTGACAGCGCGCGCGTTTTTAGTTCATTCAACTGATTGGCTGAAACAGACTACTACCTTTGGCAAATTCAAACTTTTTCAAGACCAATGCTTTCAAAATCATTCAGCTGAGAACTTGGAAATGTGCAAGGATTTTTTTTATATGGTTACCAGCCGGTTAAAGATAACTTGGTTTACAACAATCAGGAAAAGTAAGTGTTTTTTAATTCATCCTCGATTATGAGAGCTCGGCGTTTACAAGAAGCGTTTTCAAGAAGTATACTGCCGTTTTGAAATCGGGAGAACGCTTCGAGCAGCCAAAGATGATTGACACTTGCTAAGGTTTTTTAACGACTGTTTATCATTGTCTGTTCCTGGGACCTCATCATAGCCGGATTCATGGACAAATTTTTGAGATTTAAAACCCAAAAATGAAGGAGGCAATTTGTTTTCCTTCGACGCTGCCATCGATGGATGAGTGGAGCCGCAATTGTTGTGATGTCGGAAACTGCCAGTATTATATAATATTTGCTTTATATCAGCGCTGGAGTTTTAATTATCTTATTTGGCCTACTGCAAGAGTCATCGTAGCTCTTCTTAGTCGGCTTTATCGTGGTCGTTAAGGAAATTTGAAACTCTGTGACCTGTGACACTGACGATATGTTCTGAACTTACAATCTTTGCTTCTTCAGCATCCTGACTGTTGTTTTTCTTGTACAATGATTCGTAAACTTTTTTCTCACTTTCTTTAAGGCAAGTACCAGCTGCGGATACTTTCATTATGTGAGTTGTGGTATTTTTGCCCATTGGTTTAGTTTGGACCAGATGTTTAAATTTTCGGTTTCGTTTGCTACTGAGGTAGAAAAAAACACAGACCATCGCATGGATGTTTTAATAGAGGTCTTCGCTCCACAAGACTCAAAGAGAGCAACAAATTACGTACATGACTTGAAATCCCTGTTGTTATCATGGAATTGTATCCTTGTTCATTCTGTAGCTGTCATGGTTTGTGTGTGGTTGCAACCGTTTTTGTTCTTTATTTTTTTACTTTAGCGTAGTCTGTTATAAGTAGCTTGTTTTCTAGTTTCTCTGGCTCATTTTCCTCGATTTTGTTGACAGTATTTTTCTCTTAGCAACGCATTTTCAATACATTTAGCCAGAAAGACGTACTTTTTACTGTGTTCGGGTTTTTGGAAAATTTTTTTAACTTTTCTATTGTTGTTTTGCTTACAAAATTAAATCCCGCTGTCGTCTGCTGAAAACCATGGCCATTTTCTTGAATTTTTGTTGTTAAAACATCTCTAATCCGATTGGTTCTTGTTGGTTTCTTTTGTGTTTTCAGCCAATCAGAAAGCATTTGTAATTTGCACTCGTGTTACAAGTTTGCACTCGTGTTACACATTTTGCACTCGTGTTACAGAAGAGCTGCACTCCTTTCTCAGCCAATCAGAATTAAGTAATTTTTCCGTGTATATTATTAAAAGAGAAATAAGAGGCTGCTCTCAGTCTACCAACAACCATAGGCGACAAATCTATCCGAAACACAAAATTTTCCCACGAGAAGCCCGATCGTTAGAACCCCTTGTGAGCGACCTCTTGTGACCCCTTGCTATCTCTTTAAGCGACCACTAGACACCCTGCGTGATCTCTAAGTTCGCTGTATGTACTACGCTACTCGGAGTATACGACGAACTACATGTATTTAGTGACAACACGGGAAAGCGAATATCATAACTCAACACATTGCATACAATAAATTCTCTTCCAAAACGTAGGAGTAGATCGGCAGTTTCGGTACCTCTTCTCGAAAGAGACAAAAATGCGGTTTGATTTACGTAAGCGACCAACAGGGGGGTAATTACATGAGACCGGGACAAACTCGGACCGGTATGAGTTAGTATCGCTCTCCATACATTTCGTTTCATGCGTTTACATGGGACCGGCATCATTCTCTCTTAGACCGGCCTAAAAACGAACTCAGAGCGGTCTGTCTTCGTGTCGGTCGCTGACCCGACACGAGTTATTTTCTTACCGGTCTTAGACTGTACCGTTGTCATGTAAAACAGAAACGAATCTCAGACTGGGTCCATACCATGCCACCAGATGAGCGTTAGATAAAGTTTACAATTTTCTGGGAGCAGTAAAATCTGCGGTTCTCTACCAGTCAGGTGACCAGTTAGGACAGTTAGTGAATAATATGTTAAATAATGGACTTAAGAAAGTTATATAGCTACAAGAATCTCCTGTTTTTGAGTTTGTACCGGTCTCATGTAATCAACGAAGCGTTTCGTCCCGCTCTCATGTAAACGATTGCAAAAATTACAAATTCGTACCGGCCTGAGTTCGTCCCGGTCTCATGTAATTACCCCCTAAATTCGCATTTTGGGTGGTAGCCTTACGGATAGTTCGACTGTAATTGCACATTTCTCATTGATAGCATTACCGTGTTATAAAAAGGAAAGAGTGTTGTAGTACTTATTGATTCATGTTGAAGCAGAAGTGGATCAAGAGGAATTATGTCTGACCTTGATTGCAGAATTTTCCGTGGTGCGACTGTGGCTGTACAATCGTGTGTCATGCGATCGTGTTTGAATTAAGTCCGGATAGTCGTCGAACGGGACGAACTCAGACCAGTATGACTTCGTATCGGTCTCCATACATTTCTTTTCATGCGTTCACATGGGATCGGCCTAAAAATGATCTCAGAACGGTTTAACTTCGTCTCGGTCGCTGACCCAACACGAGTTACTTTCGTACCGGTCTGAGACCGCATAGTTCTCATATAAGTTGGAAACGAATCTTAGACCGGGTCCGTAAATAGCATGTTTCTTCGTATGGCTCCACGATTTTTTTTTGTTTTATCAAAAAAAAGACGTAGAAGTAGCTTCAATTGAATACTCCGGTGCTTGGATTAATGTGAGGGATTGCACCATTTTGAGTTGCTGTGCAGCAAATATTAACAGGCCACCATATGAGCGTTAGATAAAGTTTATAATTTTCTTGGAGCAGTAGAACTCTACGTTTGTGTTCTCACTGTTTACTGGCGTAAATTGTTTACCAGTTAGGAACGTCAGTAATAATATGTTAAATAATCGACTTGTGAAATTTATATAGCTCCAAGAATCTCCTGTTTTAAAGTTTGTACCGGTCTCATGTAATCGACTAAGCATTTCGTCCCGGTCTCATCTAAACGGCTGCACAAATTACAAATTTGTACCGGTCTGAGTTCGTTCCGGTCTCATGGTATCACACCCATATTCTAAGAGAGACTTAAAGGAGTAAAGGGAAACGTAAAACGACCAAAACTACAAAAGGAAGCAGACAATGGAGAAGAAGATACATTGTTGAGTTGTGCAAGCAACTCATTAAATTTTAACGGGGTTTTTCTTCTGGATCACTACCACGGGATGATCGCTTGTCTAATAACTAATCAAAATTGGGTCAATGCAGTCGTGCTGATTTCAGACTTCATGTACATTTTTGAACTGTTAGAAACCTCTTGCGTTTGATTCGACCAGGCTGTGTTCAAACAGGAAGATCCCTATTACTTAAAATAGATAATAATAGAATTCATAATGAAAGTAATGCTCTCTGGTTCAACAGAAATTTCAGAGCTTCAATTATTTTGTATCCATT